GGAAATATTATCAATAATTTGATATACCTGGATATTTTAAATCTCCAACAGAAGACTGTTGTTATGGTTTCGTCATCCTTGATGAAAAGAGGAGGATACGTGGAAGATTTTGAAGGACATAATACTAGAAGTTCATCTAGATCTGAACTGATATGCTGTACTACAGCTCAACCGAAGCTAACCAATGATATTTTTAATGCGAGTGATCGAAATCAATGTACCGTTTTGACTCTTCTAGATTTCAGCAGAGCATTTGACACCATCAATATGCGCTGTTATTGTCGATCTTACACTACATTGGCATGTCAGATGATTTGGTTATTTTTTTTTCAAAACTGTCTACACAACAAATACCAGGAAGTTGTTCGTGATAGAGTATATTCCACACCTATGAATTTTAAAAACAGGCGTTCCCCAGGGATCAATTCTTGACCCTCTCCTATTCACGATATACACGAGTCAATTAGTGGAATTCCTTCAGTATTGCAGTGTACATCTCTATGCCGATGACACCCAAATCTGTTATTCATTTGAACCACACAGGGTGAATGACGCTAATAGGCGGATCAGTCATGAACTCGACACATTCTCATCCCTTGCTGAGAAAATGTGCTCAATGTAATACATCTGAGTCGAAAATACTGATATTTGGTCCAAAAAATCACAGAGATATTGTTAAACAACAATTCTTTGCGGCAATTGAGGATACAAAAACTGAATCGCTGAGACAGCTCAAGGATATACCAAAAAGTTTATTTCGAAACTGCTTCAAGGATTGGAGAAACACTGGCACAAGTGTAATATATCTGAGAGGGACTACTTTTTCGAACAGATAGCGTATGTTTCAGGTACTCTGGAAACATAGATGAATACTTTTGATTTAGGTGAACAGTATCTTTTCAAATGCATTGTTCAGCCAATGTCATTTGTTCAGTTTCACTTTTCAATCATGGAATGTATATCCATGCATAAAAAATGACTACATATAGCATTATATAGGTTGGCTTGAGTAAAAACGAAAAAAGTATATGAAATATTATCTAGGTTGAAGCAATTTCAATACATAGATAGGTACATGAAAGAAATTGGATGGAAAATTTCAATTACTATTAGTTAACCGATCTACTTCCCAGAATATATCTATGCATGAAAGACAATGAAAGTCCGAAGTAATGAAATGAGTTGATTTGTTTTAAAACTGTGAAATATTTCAATCTTAAGTCCAAGAATATTGACTCATTCCAAATAAGAATGGAAAACTACTGAACTTTGCTGCCAAAATGACAGTTTTACAAATCCTTCATATAAATAATTGTATAAAAAAATTTTACTGAAAAATTTAATGATTTTTACTATAAGTGCGATATATATTTTGCCAAAATGAGTTGATTTAAGACCTGTGGGTGATATTATGATTATTACTGTTAACATTTTAGAAATTACTCTGTGGTAATTAACTGCTGCCCTGCTTTTGCTTACTAGATATATTTTGAATATTTCTCATATTATACATGATATCTGAGATCAAGAACTCAATTCGAAGAGGCCTATTCAAGACTTATTACAAATCATATAAACTTATCAGGTTTCACATAACTGACATTTTCGTTGTTCGGTATCTGAAAGTAGCTGAAATACATTCTGTAGCACTTGAATCTATTTCGAAATGTTAGACTGTTTCTGAATTGAATTGGTAGTTTCGTCAGCCATCTTCTTTGCAGTGAACGTTAACGGAAAGAAAGAGACGTGAATTATACTCAGAGATCATGTGAAACACAATTGCCAACGTTAGATTCCGTTTTATAGCTCTTGCTAATCGAAGAAGAAGACATGCTTCGCAACGAGATCAGTTTATTCAATATACATTCGGGCTAATTACAGTGAATTCATGGTTCTGCACCCGCATGAAGTCTGGTTGAAAGACCATTCATGGGTATCTCCGAATCTTTCAGAATGGCTCTGCATTCTCGGGCCTCGTAATGACAATGATGATAAGGATTTTTATTTGGTCAGAGAATGTCATGATACTCAATGTGCAAAATCTGATTGAATATTGATACTCATTTGTTGACGCAGTTATTCAAATCATCTGTTCATTAAACCGGCGAAGGCAGTTTAGCAAGTAGCTAGCTTCTTCATAGGTTCATACTCAGTCATCGGAGATTCCTCATGATGAATAAATTTCTGAAGAAGCCAGCAACTCGTGACAGCGAAACGTCAGGAAAAAATTTTAAAGTTCGACGACCTTTACACCAGAAAAAAGTGACACTTTTCCAAACTCTATCATCTCAGTTAATACCTATTTAATTCAATTGGAATAAGAGCCATTTTTTGAAGGATAAATAGATTATTAAGAGATTGTTAGTACTGAAATAATGTTTTTTTTGTGGCATTACAAGGTTTCTAATTAATTGATTATTTCATAATGGAGACTGATTATTATTTTCTTGACAACCGTGCACATGCCCGAGATAAAATTATGATGAACATAATGGTAATCATAAAGAAATCTTTATGCACTGTGATTATATATATCTTCAATAAAATGCATTCTCTAAAAGATCAAAGAATGATAAAAATAAATCTTGAATGCAAGAAATAGGAACTTTTCCCAATCACCAAAAAATGCAATACTATTTTTGTCACGCGTTTCTCCACAACCAATTTGGCTTCTTCAGGATGCCAAGATGAAGTGTTCATCTCTTGATGATGCCAACTTGGTTGGTGAAACGCGCGTCGGGAAGAGTATTGCATTTCTGGTGATTGAGAAAAGTGTTAGTTCTTCAGAACGCCAGGCGTTCTGGTTTTACCTCAAACTGAATTTTGAAGTTCAACTCAAGCGTGTTATTCAAATATCAACGTAACGTATACTGTTCAAAAAATAAGGTGACTATTCAAATTTCGTCGTGATTGTTTCATTTTGATAGACTCATCTCAAACTAAATTTTAATGGATCCAAATATGATATGGTGTCTTATTGTAGGAAAATGTCAGTCATCGAGTACAATCATGGAGTAGATACCATTTCACTGTCACGTAGTAACTCAATTAAAGACCTTGGTATATATTTTGATCAAACATTTTTTCCCAACCACATTAGATCGAAAGTAAGAGAAGCATTGAGAGTTTATGGCTTTTTAGTTCGCAATTGGAAATCTTTTTTGAACATATCTGCTCTAATTACTCTTCATGTAGCTTACTTAAAGTCAAAATCAGAATATGGCTATGGTCTATGGTCTTCATTCTACAACGACTACAATACATTATTTGAAAAAGTTAAACGTCGTTTCCTGAAGTTCATTTACTTCAAATTTTAAGCTATCTATCCTGATGGAAGTATTCCATATGAATCTCTTACCATAACATTCAATATTGAAAGTTTTGAATTACGCAGAGAACTTGCTGGAATAATTTTTTTTATACAAATTATCGCACAACAATATGGATGCTATGGAGGTGTTATCACCTATGAATTTCTGTATGTCTCATTCTGGAACTAGAAGTACAAAAACTTTCCTCAACCGACTGGCCAGAAAAAAACTGTACCTCAAGTCACCAATCTTTAGCATTTGCAATAACTCCAACATAATTTCAAATTTGTGTGATATCAATTCCGATTCCCAAGAACATATGTATTGTTGAAACTGCATCTCAGTTTCTCATGACGAATGTTTCTGGTACAGTTTTTTATTTAATTTTAATATATTTTTGATGATACGTTCGCCACTGCTGTTTCCTTTCGAGTAATCATGGATTACAGCGGGATGAGAAATTTCAAGTTACACTGCTTGAAACTGAATTAAATAGATTCATGGTAGATTTTTCGAGTCTATGAGACAATGATAATTCCAAAACTTGTTTAAATTTCCCTACATCTTCTGGGAAAATCGGGACATGGTCAGTTTGCTTAATCAATTTTGAGTGAATTACAGGAAACATTAGTATATTCAGGATTAGATAATTTAGGAAACGATTGCTACATAAATAGCATTTCACAGGTGTTTTTCATGATGAAGAATTCCAAGAACGAGGTTTTAACGGTGAAAGAGAACGAACATGTTTCCTACTCATTCACCAAACTCAAACACCTCTTCATGCAGCTGCAGTTTCGTGAGAATTTATATCATCTTTTCCACCAACTGATTTCTTAGAGTCCACTAGATACTCGTCAGGACAACAAGAGGATTGTTCCGAATTATTTTGGTTCTTATTGAATACTCTTCATGAACAGGAAAGTAGCAGAATCAATACTCCTGACCACTCTGAATTGAATGATTCCGTACTGCCTATCATGTCTTGTGTTTGTTTTGCGGCTTCTTATGATGATAGAGAGCCTTCAGTGTTCGTAAATCTTTTGCTGAAGGAGACCTCACTAGTTTACTTGGTAGTACATGCTGAAGAGTTAGCAAAAAAGTATGTGACTATCTAGAACTCCAACTAGCGTTTCCCAATATGACTGATAATCAGTCCCTGCATAGTTTATTGTTGAATCATCGGGAAATATAACTTTTAACGAGTTATGATCTACTGTATTGACAAATACGCGCCAAACTAACTGACTATTATAAGACAACAAGTATATCTGAGGCATCAGTCAATCTAATAACACTGATGATTTTCAAACATGACTCAACCTCTGACGGAAGTACCAAATTCTTACGAAGGTTCAAAAAGATGAACTCATCAATCTAGAAGACTACTATTATAAACTTCATGCAGTCATTGTTCACTGTGGTTCTGGCGTTAAATTTGGTCATTATTACTCCTTGGTCAAAGACAAGACGGACTGGTTTAAATTTGACGATAGTCGTGTCACTATAAATATTCTGACAATATTCTGAAAAAAGTTTCCCATTTGATGCGGACTTTATCGGTGACACAGTATATGAGATGGGCTAAATAGGCCAATATAAAAGCCTGCAGACTACTTCTAATAATTCCAAAAAAGTTTATGATTGAAAGGATAAGTATGATTCATACATTTCCGTAGAACAACTTACATGAGGTCTCATCCAAATTATCGGATGCAAAGGCGGCTTCTTATGATGATAGAGAGCCTTCGGTCCAGCAGGAAATTCGGTATCTTCAAAAAGCGATCCACGTTCTCTACAAGATCTCCTGATCGCGTGATAATTGGAAGATACTTTATGGCGGTCCGAAGTACAGTACCTGAAACAGTGACAAAACCGTGATAAGTAAAAGTACGACCCCAAATTGAGGTACTATAGTTATATGAAAGTCTTACGTTAGGATTAATTTTCAAATTTTCCTTTGAATTGAATATTTTTTATCCAAAGAACAAGGTGCTGATGATAAAATAGATGCTGTGGAAAAATCTCCAAAGCTCGTTCCTGATTGAAATTGAAGTGTCATCGTCAATCGAAATATTTCAAAATGTTTTTGAGAAAAAATTACGACGTTACTGACACTTAATCCAATTATCTCACAAATAGACTTTCAGTTCATCAAATTGAACATATTGGCATTTGTTGATTCGGTATCTCGGATTTTCCAATCCTGTGTGTTTCATGATAATACGTTACGTTATTTTTGTGTTACGATCCGCTTGAAAATTATCAAATTTCAATTGATTCTGATATTACAAGAAATGGTGAATGCGCAAGGATATCGTCTTGATCAGGTATCGATTTCGAAATTAATCAACGTTTTTCGAGAAGTTTTTTCTGGATTCGTGATTCAGAAATGTGAGGAAAATAATCTAAAAGTGGTTACAGCGATAAAGAATCCTAATAAGTATTATGAAGGGTAAATTACAAGTACAATCATTTTTATTCCTTTGATTTTCTTTGAAAGGCAACATTTTCATGATCTAAGGTTATTGAAACAGTTACAGAGTGTTCATTTCAGAAATGTGTTCATATCTATCAAAAATGTCTAGGGAAGAATTAACCAAAGAGACTTAATGTAACAAAATGCCGTTTTGTTTGCAAACCTATATAATAAATAAGATAACTTTCACAAACTGGAAAAAATTATGAAGTGCATCTATATAAGTGTTTATGTTTATGGCACCTCAGCTTTCTGAAAAAACGTTCCATGCAAGCGGCAACCAATTGATATATTTCGAATACTTTTATCATCAACGCTGGTGTTCCCCAGAAATCCATATCGTCTCTAATCCTCCCTTTGTTGTATATCAAAACGATTTATTGGAAAAAACAAATATATTGCTTCGCTGAAGACACCACTGTTGTCATTTGGTTTCCACGACGTCGACCGTGGGTGCACATCTTCACCGAGATCTGGAGGTTGCATATCTTAATGAGGATCTAGAAGTAATTTCGAACTGGCTTGAAAGTAACCAGGCTCAATTCAATGGCACAAAAACCTAGACATTGGTTTTCTCCGAGAAGATAAATGTTTCCGACCCGGATAAAATAATGTCAGAATAGGTTTGTTGGGGGTTGAAATGGACACCAATTGGTTTTGGTACGATCATGTCGCTGTAATTGCAAAAGCTGCTTCTCAAAAGCTTGGAAAATTGTTCCGAACCAGAAAACTGTCCACACCCCAGCAACTTTTGATGGTTTATGAAGCTCAGATCAGACCTTTATATCATTTTCTTTTGCCATGCATTATGCCATCCTTATCAAATGCTATTTCTTTCAAGGTGTAGCTTGTGTTTCACTTGGTCAACTTGAACCATTTTCAACTTACATTACTTAATCATGAACTAAAGCGAGTTATATTAATATTTTTTTTATTTAAAGGATAAATTCACATCATATAGATAACCGGGTGTTCATGTTTTTCATATGTGGACCGTAATAATGCCTCACCTATCTCTGAAAAGGAAAAAAAGAATTGGTGGTGATGTAGAATATTTATTATGTTTTTTACCTACCTTTAAGATGTCATATAATTGTACTCTATCAGGTAGAGCACATAAAACTTTCATAAATGCTGTCTTCTACAGATTACACTACTAGTAGGATTCCTGTAAATCAAAAGAGACGATTGTACGTGATGTGTATAAGTAATTCTATTATAAAATTGTACTATATATATTGTTACATTTACTCACCTGTTACTGAAGAGTATAATCACTTCATTTATCATGCATTGATATATCTGTATATATTTTCATCGTTATATTTATGTATTTCCTAGCCTTGGATCGTCTATTTGCGCTGGTGGCGAACTTGAATATTTTCATCTGTCATCAGAAAATAAACAATTGGATGTCGACCTCTAACTTTCAATCAGCTGAAGGATATTTTCTTTCATGTTCCGAGAGCATATCGGTTGATGTGTTCTGTTCTCATCATCCTTCCACACTCGGTGCGTTTGTTGTTTATTCAACACTACGAAACGTGAATCTCTAGATATGCCATCTGCCGGGTCGAAACAACTACTCTCTTCTTCTAGTAGTCCTTTTGACATTAGGTAGAAGTTCTTGGCGTTGCAGTTTTCGTCATTTGAAAACATCCATTTATATGTGTATATATAAATTTCATTATTTCCAGTTCAAATCTTAACCTGTCCGAAAATAATAAAACTCAAGGTACTTTGTCTCACGTCACCGTTTCGACGTGAAAAACAGACTCAGAATGTGTGCCAGTCAGAATGCGCTGTTGGTTGATTTTTAAGAAGTTTTTTGAAATGAAAAAAAAAGGTCCTCTTTTTTGGATGGCCGGCGTGACTTCAAAGTGGCGAGCCATAAGCACTGGTTTCCTTTGTGAAATTTTTCTTTTGCGATGAGGATATACTCACACAGATTGTGATTTTGGTGTTTAGTTTGTTTCTGTTGAGAGCAAGTTTATCCACTGAACCCGATAGGTATGTAATTTCAGTATTTAAATCTTGCAAGCTTCCCTTCGCCATTTGGCCTTTTTTTTTGTATGTTGAAATTTGTTGTAACTAAGCCTATTTCACAGGGCTTTTCCATTGGGGCTTGATGATCTTTACTCACTATAATTTGAGAAGAAATAATCCATTCCTGGAGTTTCCTTTTTCGAGTCTGATTTCAAGAAGTAAAGTTATAAAAATTTATTTACATCACGAACAAGCAACACCTGTTGCTTCTGTGGGTTTCCCAATGTTTATTTGCAAAAAGTATAGCCTTGCTATGCTTGCTGTTTTTCTTTTTGTGTAAATGAACGATGATGATGATGATATGTGACTGGCGATCGCCCCGGCTCCGCACGGGTGTAATGCTGACACTGAATATGAATTCAGCCACCGGAAATTTGAGGACATGGAGAAACATAAACCAACCAATATACAAAATTTCAGCGACCGGAAATATATCGTTACGGAGAAACAGTGATAAAAAGGTGATTTCATATGTAAACGCTCCAGTTTTACCCCCACCCAGTTAGAATATTTGAAAATTTTTCCTTGGTGCATATTCTAGGCCTGAGTAGCACCTATATACCAAATTTCAACTTCCTAAGACACAGTACAGAGAAACAGAGATGAATGAGTGTTGACTGAACGCATTTATGAGTTCAGACTGCTGGTCACCTACAGAAAACACCTCAAGCGGGTCCCTCTGATGTAAAGAAATAAGCTTGCATGGCTATCTTTGGTGCCATCAGCATCACACCGTCAGCTGCCATGAAAATCTTTCTTGTCTGAACCCCTAATCACAGTATTGTACCAATTGCAGAACTCACAGCAATATAACTTGCCAATTAATGTCTTTCACTTGCAATTTCGATTTGCCTCATACAGTCCTAACCCTGAGTAGGCACGATTAAATTCTCCGTGAGGAGAAATGATCCTTAGTCCAGAAAGCTGTCGGTACACAGCTGGATCAAGAACACCTCCAGGTCCTGGTGCAGGTTTATATAGTAGCAGACCTAGGGTAGAGATACTATCCTTCTCAGGGACATATGGGGAAGTATTTGGAACACAAATCTACGTCAATAATTTGTGTGTGAGAAGATTGGCAGAAAATAAAAAAAAATGTTTTGGAAGTGTATGGCTCTTAGGAGCAATCTCAAAGTTTGTGTGACTCTCCTCAAAAGCAAGTTTAAACAAATTGTATTTGGTCTGGATTACCTGCTACACTGGACTGCAAGGTAATGAAGCTACTGACTTCCTTGCGAAATAGAATGCTGCTAGAGGTTTCATGGGATCTGAACTTGTTTCATAGGACCAGAATATCGAAGATCTAGACTGTAAGAAGAGTTTCAGACTTCTGGAGAAATCCACCAAAACTGATACATCAATAAGGCATCCTTAGAAGCATTACCCAACTACCCAACAAATGTTAGACTGCAACAGGTATAGCCAATACCTTCTAATGGACCTACTTACATGTCACTGTCGTCTGATTTAGACGTGAACAGTCGGTGAAGATGATACAGCAAAGCACATACTTCATACTTATCTCAGTGTCCATAGCAAGGGATTATCAGAGTTTCACTCATGACAGCTGATCTGAAGGATCACTCACCAAATGAGCTGATCGGTCTCACTGAAAAGCTGGACTCGTTCGGACAAGTTTGTATAGAATTATCACAATTAACCTTTGCAGGTTGAAGTCTAGAATCAAATCAATATTTTTTTGAATACACAAATGATCCAAGCTGTCTGTGATTGTCTGAAACATACTATTTTTCTAATTGAATAGAACTGGCCGATACTTGATGAAAATCCATATTCAAAAAACTAATAAATAGAGTTTATTCTATGATTTTCACTATAAGTGCGATAATATGATTATTACTATTATCATTTCACAAATTACTCTGTGGTAATTAACTGCTGCCTTGCTTTTGCTTACTCGATATATTTTGAATATTTCTCAGATTATACATGATATCTGAGATCAAGAACTCAATTCGAGGAGGCCTATTCAATACTTACAAATCATATGAACTTATCAGGTTTCACATAACTGATATTTTCGTTGTTCGGTATCTGAAAGTAGCCGAAATACATTCTGTAGCACTTGAATCTATTTCGAAATGTTCGACTGTTTCTGAATTGAATTGTAAGTTTCGTCAGCCGTCTTCTTTGCAGTGAACGTTAACGGAAAGAAAGAGACGTGAATTATACTCAGAGATCATATGAAACACAATTGCCAACGTCAGATTCCGTTTTATAGCTCTTGCTAATCGAAGAAGAAGACATGCTTTGCAACGAGATCAGTTTATTCAATATACATTCGGGCTAATTACAGTGAATTCATGGTTCTG